TTTGGGTACAGAGATTGGAGAGAGAGGCAAAACTGGTGTGAGTGGATCCCGGCAGAGAAGGGTTGAAAAAACAGGAAAATAACAACTGAAAAGTGCCCAGATCTGACAAAAGCATAAACCAGCAGATTTGATGAGTTGAGCAAACTCAACCCAGAAATCCAAAGAAATTAAAGTCCTCATGCTGCAATCAAACTTTTATAAACTGAAAACAGAGGGACCCCCCCCTTTTGGGGGGAAACACCTGTGGTGCTCAGGGATGACTTCTGGCTCTATGCTCAGGGATCACTCCTGGTGGGCTTAGGGGATCTCATAGGGTGTTGGGGATCAACCCAGGTGGACTATGTGAAAGACAAACAACCTCCCCTCTGACTCATAAGACCCCATAAATACTAGCAAGAGACAAATGAGACTTTCCATTAGGGGAAAAATCACACTGGACTCCTGGTTGAACCATGAAGCACTGGACAGAAGTAACAGCATTTTGGGGTGCCAAATACTATGCAGCTGTTAGGAGAGATGAAGTCATGAAATTTGCTTATAAGTGGATAGACATGGAGAGTATCATGCTAAGTGAAATGAGTCAGAAAGAGAGGGACAGACATAGAAGGACTGTACTCATTTGTGGAGTATAAAATAACATAACATGAGACTGACAACCAGGGACAGTAGATACAAGGGCCAGGAAGATTGCTCCATAGTTGGAAGCCTGCCTCATGAGCAGAGGGGAGAAGGCAGCTGGAATAGAAAAGGGATCACTAAGAAAATGATGGTTGGAGGAATCGGTCGGGATGGGAGATGTGTGCTGAAAGTAGATAATGGACCACACATGATAACCTCTCAGTATTTGTATTGCAGACCATAATGCCCCAAAGTAGAGAGAGAGTATAGGGAATATTGTCTGCCTTGGAGGCAGTGGGAGAGTGGAAAATTGTGAGTACACCGGGGATGTTGGTGGTGGGGAATGTGCACTGGTGGAGGGATGGGTGTTTGATCATTGTGTGATTGTAACTCAAACATGAAAGCTTGTAACTATCTCATGGTGATTCAATAAAAAATAAAAAACAAACTAATAACTAATCTATAGTGACTCAGTTACAACTATTCATCCTTATTTTTTGTTCTAGTTCAAAGAAAAAAAACTTCAGTAATGAAGTGGGGGGAATGAAAACATTCTATAGCTAAAGGAAACAAGAAACTGTCATCAATACCTAGATTTTAAAAAGAAATTCAGGGCCTGGAGAGATGGTACAGGGTGAAGTTCCTGGCCTTGCATGAAGCTGGCCCTGGTTTACTCCAGGGTCCCATGGTCCTAACACACCCTTGGCTGCTGCAAGGCTGGGTCCCCCAGCCTCCCCAGGGCACTCCCAGGCCTGCACCCTCAGGCCCTCACCTCCAACCACCTCTCTGTCAACAGAGAAACAAGGATCATGAATCCCTAAAGAGGGCCCCCATGTCTCCTGGGCACTGCTTAGGAGGCAAAAATGGAGAGAAAAAAAACCCACAAAACAAAACGGAGCTGGGGGTGTAGCTCAGTGATCTGTCAGAGAATGTCTCATATGTGTGATCCGTGGTTTGACTATAGACACCCGAAGAAAACAACAAAAGAAACTTATAATCGTAAGGAGCTGGAGAGATAGCACAGTGGAACAGTGCTGGCTTGACACGCGGCCAACCCAGGTTTGGTCCCCCACATTCCATAGAGCCCTCCAAGGATGCCAGAAGGGCTTTTACAAGCACAGAGCCAAAAGTAAGCCCTGAGCAACTCCGGGGTGACCCCCAAACAAAATAAAAAACAAAAATAAATAAATAAATCCTCCAAAACAAAAACGTATTTTAATCTTATTTAGAAAATCTCCCAATTCCACTGGGAGGTGGGGCTTGAGGAGATCACAGATACACACCTTGTTCATGCCTAGCAGGGCCCGATATGGTCACCTGTCAGCCCCCGGAGCTCACTGTCTATTGAAAACAATCTCAGTGACAGCATCAAGGTTATGGGAGACCCCAACAACTGTGACACTACAACTCATTTCTCATTTACATGGAAATGAATGCTGGAAATAGGATAAAGTTAAAATGGAGGTGACCCAAGGAGTATCAGGGCAACAAGAGGAAAGATGGGGGCCCAGCCAGCTATACTCAAACCCAGCCCAAAGCCACAGGATGACTGACACATCGGGCGTGTTTTCCTCAAGACAACACACTGCAAGGTGAGTTCTTCTGGGGAGTCACAAAGGAGATGCAGAGAGTCAATGCACAAACACCCAGGACTACGCGACTGCAAGCTTGTCTATCAGGCCCCAGAGGAGGAAACTGTGTTTGGCCAGGAAGGACAAGTAAGAAACCAGTGAAAAAAAAAAAATCAAGAGCCCCTCCCTGCTTCGCCTCTTCCACCCAAATAAAAGCCAGATGGAGCAAAGAATTAATGAATCCATGCAAGTTAAGCTTGAGCAGTTTTATGTATAATTATGTGCTGGGAAGACTTTCCAAGCAGGGTGCAAATTCCAGAGACTGTTAAGGAAATGATTGATATATTTTACTGCCAGGGGAAAAAAATGAATTTTTTAATGTATGGGCTGCCCAAAATCCTACCTATAAAGTCCTGAGACCAAAGGCAATCTGGGGATTTTTTTTTATGTTACATATGTTGGAAAAGCAGCCAATCCCCTTAATTTATGGGGCGCTCATAAGGAACAAATGTCGAAAAAATAAGTAAGCAAATGAAAGAAACACAAATGCTCCATCTCCTTCACCTTAATTAAAGAGCTGCAAATCTAAACAATACTGTTAAAAAAAAAAAACTCTCAAGACTGGAGGGGACAAAATCAATGGCAGATGATTTTATTTCGGAGAAATGGCTGCTTGTAAACACTGTCAGAACTTAAATTTTCTACAACTTTTTTTGGGGAAAGCAATTTGTATGCGTCCAAATGAAATCCATGCAACATCATACAACAGAGATAACAGTAAACAGAAAAGACAAGAAACAGAAACTCTGGGTCTTTTGACCTAGAAATCCCAATAGCAGAATGGCATGGCCTGTGGTAGCTATGAATAAAAAAGCACTAACAATCACTGAGTGCTTTCTACGCAAACAGAGGAAGAAAAAAATTCACTGTGTGGGTCAACTCTGTCCTTACAATGACACCAGAAGGTTCTGTGTCGTTTCCCAAAGGAGCCAAGGAAACACAGTCTCAGAGTGTGGACTTTAGGCCAGGCAGCCTGGATTAAATTACTTCTTCCCATGCTGTTCCTTGCAATGCTAAAATAATAAAAAAAATAAAAATAAAAAAAATTTTTAAAAAAAGCTAGGAACTAGAAACAGTTCAAACAGCCAAAACAGCCAATGTTCTGAAACCTGGCCGAGCAGCTCCTATGGGTCATTGCTGAGTGCTAAGACACAAAGTTCCCCACGCCTGATGAGGAAAAAGTGAGAAGGTGCACCCCAGACAGAACCAGAGTGACCCCATCTTTGGTTGTCGGTAGGGCGTTTGCCTTGCACGCAGCCAACATGGCCGACCCGAGTTCGACTCCTCCGCCCCTCTCGGAGAGCCCGGCAAGCTACCAAGAGTATTCGATATGCCAGACACAGTAACAACAAAGTCTCCAATGGAGACGTTACTGGGCCCACTCGAGCAAATCGATGATCAACGGGAGGGCCTTTACCTTACCTAAAGTGAAGTACATGTGAAAGGGGCTGGAGCAATAGCACAGTGGGTAGGACGTTTGCCTTCCAAGTGGTTGACCTGGGTTCGATTCCTCCGCCCCTCTCGGAGAGCCCGGCAAGCTACCGAGAGTATCTCGCCCGCCCGGCAGAGCCTGGCAAGCTCCCCGTGACGTATTCGATATGCCAGACACAGTAACAACAAAGTCTCCAATGGAGACGTTACTGGGCCCACTCGAGCAAATCGATGATCAACGGGAGGGCCTTTACCTTACCTAAAGTGAAGTACATGTGAAAGGGGCTGGAGCAATAGCACAGTGGGTAGGACGTTTGCCTTCCAAGTGGTTGACCTGGGTTCGATTCCTCCGCCCCTCTCGGAGAGCCCGGCAAGCTACCGAGAGTATCTCGCCCGCCCGGCAGAGCCTGGCAAGCTCCCCGTGACGTATTCGATATGCCAGACACAGTAACAACAAAGTCTCCAATGGAGACGTTACTGGGCCCGCTCGAGCAAATCGACGAACAACGGGAGGGCCCTTGACTGCATGCTGCTAACTCGGTGGTGCCTGTGGTGACTCCACTGCCTGGGCAAACAGACGCAAAATAGCAGTGGGATTCCATCCCAGGAAGGACTTTGTGCGCTTCAAAAGAAAACAGTGTTAAAACAAAGCAAAAATCTACTGGATAGGGAAAAGCAGCAGCTTACAGAATGACGCATCCGACCGAGGGCTCATAACCGCATTTCTCAAGCACTCACAATCTTCAACAAGAAAGAGCTGTCAAAAAGGTGGGAGCAGAGCTGACCAGACTCTTCCACAAAGAAGCGTCCAGATACTGGAAGCAGACTCAAAATCAACTTCCTGTCAGGGAAATGCAAATCCAAATAGGAGCGAGGTTCACATGAGAGAGGAGGGGAAGGGAAGGAAGGGAGGGGAGGGGGAAAAGGAAGGGGATAGGGCAGCGGGGAGGGTATTTGTCTTCCACGCTGCTAACCCAGATTCATTCCCCTGCATCCCATATGGTTCCCTGAGCGCCACCAGAAGTGATTCTTGAGTAGAGAACCAGGGTGAACCCCTGAGCATTGCTGGCTGTGACCCAAAGAGCAAAAGAGAAGATGACAGGGAATATTGCCTGGTTTAGCCTCCACCGAAAGCAATATGAAAATTCTTCCAAAAGATTAAACAGCTGGGGGCCAGAGCAATAGTCCAGCGTGGAGGGTGCTTGCTTTGCAGACAGATGAACAGGGTTTGATCCCTCACACCGGAGACGGTTCTCAGAGACCCGCCAGGAGTGATCCCTGAGCATAGAGGCGGGGATAAACCCTGAGCACCACTGGCTGTGGCCATGGTCCAAAAGAAGTAATTTGAAAGAATTCAGAGAAGATTAGCATGCCCCCCTGTGCAAGGATGACACGCAAATTCGTGAAGCATTCCATATTTTTCCGGACCATGCAGTAGGTTACTGTTGCTGGGCCACCCCAGCGGGGAAAGGGTCCCTCCACCTGTTCCCCCTCAGTGGCTTAGTGGCCGCCATCCGCCAGAGGCCACTGAACAGTCAGGTTTGGGCCCACAGTGATGAGACATGCAGGGTCTCATTGGATGGGAGTGGAGCCGGCCCTTTCCTCCTGGTCCCAACAAGACCTCGAGTCACTGCCCACAAACAACCTTTCTTGCTCCCGGTCAAGCTGCTTAATGGCCATAATCCAAGAGACTCAAGAACAAATCTCGGAACCCAGCAGGTTTTGGCAGAAATCACTCCAGATTTGTTAAAATTTTGGAATTTCAAAATCACGCGGCCACTACTGCAGCCGCGTGACTGTCACTGTCACTCACTGTCACTGTCCTTCTGTTGTTCATCGATTTGCTCGAGCAGGCCCAGTAACATCTCCATTGTGACCATTGTTACTGTGTTTGGCATATCAAATACACCACGGGGAGCTTGCCAGGCTTTACCGTGAGGGCGAGATACTCTCGGTAGCTTGCCGGGGTCTCTGAGAGGGGTGGAGGAATCGAACTCGGGTCAGCCATGTTGGCCGCTTGTAAGGTAAACACCCTAACACTGTGCTATCGCTCCAGCCCTAGCCACGTGACATCATATGTTATTCATAACCAGCAATAGAGAACGAATTGTCTACTGTTGCCTTTCAGCATATCCGAGTGCTGGGGTAAAATCCCAAATAATAATGGTGGGTCTGGTGTCAAAATTGAATGTAATCAAAGTAGAGAAAGAGTAATGTGGAAATCATCTGCCCCACAGGTAGGGGGAGGGTGTGGGATGAGGGTATACTGGGGTTTTTGGGGGTGGAGAATGGGTACTAGTGAAGGTACGGGTGTTTCATTGTATGACCGAGACTTAAACCCGAAAGCTTTGTAACTGCTCTCACGGTGATTCAATAAATAAAACTATAAAAAATGAAAAATAAAAGAAGTAATTTGAAAGAATGAAACAGAACCAGCACTGGCAGACCCAACCACTTCACCCCTACGTCTCTGCCCCAAGCCACAGGACACCGAGTAGGAATGCTCTCTGCAAGGCCCATTTGCAATACCCAGGTCCAGGAAACCACCCAGGTGCCCGCCCAGCGGGTCCGGCATGGGAGAGGTGTGATCTGCATGCACAATGGAGCACTACCTGGCTACGAGAAGACGGAAACCAGCAACTAGCACACGGAGAGGGTGACGCGGGCACTCTGCACTGGGCAGTGAGGTCTCAAACAAAGCAGGGTACAATGTAGACAGCAGGAGCCCGTTTACAGAGGAGGCAGGGCAGAAACAGACTTTACACTTGGGGGGTTGGGGAGGGGATAATCCTCAAGGGAGGGGACAATCCCCAGCAGTGCTCAAGGTCGCTCCCACTGGGCTCTAGGCTCTCCTGCTTCACTGAGAGGTGGAGTCTGGGACTAGGGCAGCCCTAGAGCATACACACGTTGTCATGGCAACAAAGGCAGTGGCCGAGTCAAGTGCCTTTGCACCTGCCTGGGAGCATGGAGCAGAGGGCCCACCAAGTCACACCCCTACACGCGGGGGTGGGGGGTGGGGGGCCCTTCACGGGGACAGCTACCGTCAGACCCTCCTAGACGCCAGATCTAGGGTCCTCCCGTGCCCCAATATGACCTCTTGGGAATTCTAAGCTGAAGCTGGGGCACAGCAAGGTGGCAACGCCCTTTCTGTCGATGGGTTCTGGGACGGAACCGGTGCCTGACCCTGCTTGGAGCCTGCCGATGTGTGCAAGGCTAGTGCCTGCCCGGGGATGCTCCAACTCAGATAAACACGCTGTGGGGGCCTTGCGGGAGAAGATGGCTGGGCACCCCACCTCAGGGAGGACCCTCAGGGAAGGCGGGTGTCAGGGAAGGTGCGAAGGATTCTGGGAAGGCTGGGAGCCCTCAGGGAAGGTGCAGGACCCCCTCAGGGAAGGCGCAGGGGAGCCTCAGGGAGGGTGTGAGGATTTGGGGGAGGCCCTGAGGCCTCTGGGAAGGTGAGGGGCACCTCAGGGAAGGCAAGTGACTCCTCAGGGAAGACGCAGTGACCCCACCAAGGTGCAAAGCTCGTCCCATGGCTCCCCACGCTTCCACTTTTGTCCGTAAAGTTTACTTCTGGCCAGAGGGCACCCGGGGTCAGGCTTCGCTCCTGTGGTCCAGGTCAGCAGCATCTTTGCTCCTGCCAGCGCCACAGCTCAGCCTTGTGCTTGTAGCATGACCGTGCCCAGGAGACTCCAGGCAGAGGAGAGTCTTGAAAGGCTGCGGGATGCCCAGATTTTATTCTGGAGGGAGGTGTTTCAGTGACCTGTGTCTGCTTGAGCTCTTTGGGAGCATAAAGCCCACCGTGCACTGGTGGTGTCTGTCACTCAGCAGAACCTGTGACACTATGCGCATATGTTACCAGAAGAAAGGCCTGGGGAAGGACACTGGGGCACATGATCTGTGCATGCCTGAGAGCCTCAGGTTCCATCCGGAGCCCCACATGCTCCCCTGAGCACTGCAGGGAGAGTCAAAAAATAACCCCACAGACACCTTTATTGCACACAGTGCCCTTCTGGGTGCCGGAGTCCCTCTACCCTGCTGGCTTCCAGTGACAGCCTCCTGTTAGGAGGTCTGGGGCAATGAGGAGAAGGCGAGAAGGTGTCAGACTAGGGGAGACAGGGTCTGGGAGGCACATACACCGCAGGCTAGGTTCAGGGGCACAGGACAGCTGCTGACCGACAAGGAGCAGCTCCAGGAGCACCCACTGGCTCTCCCCCAGTCTGGGGGTGTTTCTCAGGTGGTTCCTATCTGCAGGCGGTGGTTCCGGTTTGGGGTTACTCGGTGTGATTGTTTGGAGAGTAGAGAAGAAATACATTCTCTGTGTCCGAGATTTCCTCTGGATCAGCCCCAGGATAAACCGGAGCTGCCAGTGGCTGGATAATTCACTGCCATGCCCTCTCTGGGTGCTCAAGCAAGGAGGAGCCTCCCTCTGAGGAAAGTGAAGAGAGAGCGACAACACACAGGCAGGGCTGAGAATCCCCCAGAGCGTGAGACAGGAAGAAACTGCCCCAGCAAACAGGCATCAGGCATCAGTGGTGGACACTGTTGTCTGTGGCCACTCAAGGCTCTGCTGGAAGCTGCCTTTCTGGGTCAGGTGCCCTCTCAGTCAGAGCCGGAGCCCCAAGACAGGAATAGGTCTTGTCCACCCAGCGTTCTCACTGCCTTGGCAGTCACTGCATCGTGGGAGAAGGTAGGGATTAGAACTACCTGCAGAAAGGAAGGCAGCAGGAAAGGGTTAAAAGAAGATGTCAGTGGCCTTGGAGAGACTGAGTGGGCTGTCCGTGACCAACATGTCTGGGGTGGGGGCTTGGGGGGAGGGGTCACCTGAGCAAGGGAAAGGTGCCTCCGAAATCTCTGACCAGCCTGAGCGCTCAGGGCAATCAGACCCACGGTCAGGCTTATATTTAACATTTTAACACAAGTGAACAACATTTCATTAAATACATACTGGGAGGGCAGGGGAGGGAGTGGTGTGGGCAGACCCGGGGTTCTCGGTGGGTGCTGCGGGCCACACGGAGGGGGCCACTTCCAGCGTCTGACAGTCCTGGCAGCTCGCAGTGCCCCAGCATTGGCGGGCTCAGAGCTAGCGGCCATGCTGGCCGTTGGGGGTGAGGTGTCTGTTGGCCCCAAGGCCATTCTTCAAACAGTCTCTCTCTTTGCTTTCCGTAGCTTCTACCTCCCCCTCCTCATCCTCGTCCTCATCCTCATCCTCGTCTTCATCCTCATCCTCATCATCACTCCTCACGTCCTGGATATTCTAGACAAGAAGAGAACAGGCTGTCTTGAGTGACTACTTAGAGGATCGGTTTAGGAGTATGGCTCCCTTGGAAGAGACCCCAGTATCCAGCCAAACCAGCAGGTGTTCACACACAGGGCCCACAGGACAAATCATCCCTGCTAGGCCTGACCCTCCTCACCTCCCCCTGCTGGACCTGACCCTCCCCGCCTCCCCTTACGGGCCTGACCCTCCCCACCTCTCCCTGCTGGGCCTGACCCTCCCGACCTCCCCCTGCTGGGCCTGACCCTCCCCACCTCCCCCTGCTGAGCCTGACCCTCCCCACCTCTCCCTGCTGGGCTTAACCCTCTCAACCCTCCCCTGTGGTGCCTGACCCTCCCCATCTCTCCCTGCGGTGCCTGACCCTCCCGACCTCCCCCTGCTGGGCCTGACCCTCCCCACCTCCCCCTGCTGAGCCTGACCCTCCCCACCTCTCCCTGCTGGGCCTGACCCTCCCCACCTCTCCCTGCTAGGCCTGACCTTCCTGACCCTCCAGACCTCCCCCTGCTGGGCCTGACCCTCTCCACCTCCCCCTGCTGGGCCTGACCCTCCCCACCTCCCAGCAGGGGTGACTCTGCTGGGCCTGACCCTCCCCACCCCTCCCTGCTGGGCCTGACCCTCTCCACCTCCCCCTGCTGGGCCTGACCCTCCCCATCTCTCCCTGCTGAGCCTGACCCTCTCCACCTCCCCCTGCTGGGCCTGACCCTCCCCATCTCTCCCTGCTGGGCCTGACCCTCCCCACCTCTCCCTGCTGGGCCTGACTCTCCCCATCTCCCCCTGCTGAGCCTGATCCTCCCCACCTCTCCCTGCTGGGCCTGACCCTCCCGATCACCCCCTGCTGGGACTGACCCTCCCCACCTCTCCCTGCTAGGCCTGACCTTCCTGACCCTCCAGACCTCCCTCTGCTGGGCCTGACCCTCTCCACCTCCCCCTGCTGGGCCTGACCCTCCCCACCTCTCCCTGCTGGGCCTGACCCTCCCCACCTCCCCCTGCTGGGCTTGACCCTCCCCACCTCTCCCTGCTGGGCCTGACTCTCCCCATCTCCCCCTGCTGAGCCTGACCCTCCCCACCTCTCCCTGCTGGGCCTAACCCTCTCAACCTTCCCCTGTGGTGCCTGACCCTCCCCATCTCTCCCTGCGGTGCCTGACCCTCCCGACCTCCCCCTGCTGGGCCTGAACCTCCTCACCTCTCCCTGCTGGGCCTAACCCTCTCAACCTTCCCCTGTGGTGCCTGACCCTCCCCACCTCTCCCTCCTAGGCCTGACCCTCCCCACCTCTCCCTGCTGGGCCTGACGCTCCCGACCTCCCCCTGCTGGGCCTGACCCTCCTCATCTCTCCCTGCTGGGCCTGACTCTCCCGATCACCCCCTGCTGGGCCTGACCCTCCCCACCTCTCCCTGCTAGGCCAGACCTTCCTGACCCTCCAGACCTCCCCCTGCTGGGCCTGACCCTCCAGACCTTCCCCTGCTGGGCCTGACCCTCCCCACCTCCCCCTGCTGGGCTTGACCCTCCCCACCTCTCCCTGCTGGGCCTGACTCTCCCCATCTCCCCCTGCTGAGCCAGACCCTTCCCACCTCTCCCTGCTGGGCCTAACCCTCTCAACCTTCCCCTGTGGTGCCTGACCCTCCCCATCTCTCCCTGCGGTGCCTGACCCTCCCGACCTCCCCCTGCTGGGCCTGAACCTCCTCACCTCTCCCTGCTGGGCCTAACCCTCTCAACCTTCCCCTGTGGTGCCTGACCCTCCCCACCTCTCCCTCCTAGGCCTGAACCTCCCCACCTCTCCCTGCTGGGCCTGACGCTCCCGACCTCCCCCTGCTGGGCCTGACCCTCCTCATCTCTCCCTGCTGGGCCTGACTCTCCCGATCACCCCCTGCTGGGCCTGACCCTCCCCACCTCTCCCTGCTAGGCCAGACCTTCCTGACCCTCCAGACCTCCCCCTGCTGGGCCTGACCCTCCAGACCTTCCCCTGCTGGGCCTGACCCTCCCCACCTCCCCCTGCTGGGCTTGACCCTCCCCACCTCTCCCTGCTGGGCCTGACCCTCCCCACCTCCCCCTGCTGGGCCTGACCCTCCTCATCTCTCCTTGCTGGGCCTGACCCTCCCCACCTCTCCCTGCTAGGCCTGACCTTCCTGACCCTCCAGACCTCCCCCTGCTGGGCCTGACCCTCCAGACCTCCCACTGCTGGGCCTGACCCTCCCCACCTCCCCCTGCTGGGCTTGACCCTCCCCACCTCTCCCTGCTGGGCCTGACTCTCCCCATCTCCCCCTGCTGAGCCAGACCCTTCCCACCTCTCCCTGCTGGGCCTAACCCTCTCAACCTTCCCCTGTGGTGCCTGACCCTCCCCACCTCTCCCTGATGAGCCTGACCCTCCCCACCTCCCCCTGCTGGGCCTGGCCCTCCCCACCTCTCCCTGCTGGGCCTGACCCTCCCCACCTCTCCCTGCTGGGCCTAACCCTCTCAACCTTCCCCTGTGGTGCCTGACCCTCCCCATCTCTCCCTGCGGTGCCTGACCCTCCCGACCTCCCCCTGCTGGGCCTGAACCTCCTCACCTCTCCCTGATGAGCCTGACCCTCCCCACCTCTCCCTGCTGGGCCTGACCCTCCCCACTTCTCCTGCTGAGCCTGACCCTCTCCACCTCCCCCTGCTGGGCCTGACCCTCCCCACCTCTCCCTCTGAGCCTGACCCTCCCCACCTCTCCCTGCTGGGCCTGACCCTCCCCACCTTTCCCTGCTGAGCTTGACCCTCCCCACCTCTTCCTGCTGGGTTTGACTCAGCCTCCCCCTGCTGGGCCTGACCCTCCCGACCTCCCCCTGCGGGGCCTGACCCAGCCTCCCCCTGTTGGGCCTGACCCTCCCAACCTCTCCCTGCTGGGCCCTCTCTCCTTACTCCTCCCCTGGCCTGGGAGCTCTCACCTTCATGAAGATGCAGCGCTTGAGCATTTTGAGGATGAAGTAGCCCCAGTAGAGGTGCAGGAGCTGCAGCAGCAGAAGCTGCAGGTTGAGGAAGATGTAGGAGAAGAAGGGATCGAGGTAGTGCAGCGGGATGATCAGGGTGCAGTGCAGGATCCTGCAAGAAGACCGGAGCTGCGGCACGGCCGGCAAGGCCGCCTGCTGCACACAGCCCTGACACGGCTCCTGAACGCCCCCTCTGAGCCCCCGACCCCAGCATTTCTGACTGAGCCCCCTTTCTCTGAGCCCCACTGGGTCCCCCTTTCTCCAAGCATCCCTGACTCTGACTCTGGCTTTCCCTGACAGCTGCTCCCCAGGCCTGGCATGTGGGAGTGGGGTCAAGAGCCCCTGAGATCAGAAGGAGGTGCGGACACTGGGGCGACACTGCCCATTCCCGGAGTGGACCAGAAAGACCAATTCTGGCCCACTCCCCCTCCCCCGCCTCTCCCAGGCCGGTAGTCCTGCTCTATTGTTCGTGCTGGTGGTAGACTCCTCCCTGCAGGGCAGGGGACTCTCTCCTCTCCATGGGCTGTGCTGGGGTGTGGGAGGTGTGCGCCACTCTGCCTTTGGCGGGGGGCAGTAAGGGGCTGGGGTGCTGGCTTTGGCCCCAATGCAGCCCTCATCCTCACATGGCTCAGTGGCCTCCATCTGACAGGCCACAAGTGCCACAAAGGTCTCCGGGGGCTTCCAGAGACCCCCTTGGACCCCAGGAAGAGTCCCTCCCTAAGCCCTATGTCATGGAGGCACGGGCAACCTGGGTGCCGTGGAGGGCTCCCCCTGCTCCCTCCCTGAGCCAGGCCTGGCAGCTGGAGCTGGTGGGAGGCAGGCGGCACTCCCTCCCAGGGCCCCAAGCAACCTCAGCATGGTCCCGCCCGCCCCCCAGGGGTGCAGTCCCCCGCTACTCACCAGAAGGGGAAAACCACAAGGCGGCTGATGAAGAAGATGGTGGAGAAGATGAGGAACAGCATGTTGCACGTCTGCCTCCAGCCGGCGTAGGAGAACATCTTCGCGGACTGTGGGGGCGAGAGCAACCGACACGCTGGGTCACCTTCCCTACTGCAGTGTGCGTTCGGTTTGGAGGTGACCCCTGGCATCACTCCTGGAGGGGCTCGGGAGACCCTCCTCACTGTACTGTCTCTCTGGCCCTCTCGTCCAGTGTATGGAAGTGAACGGACACGCTGTGGGCTTTATGTCTGAACAGCTGGGGTGTGCTCGGGGAGATGAGGGACACTGCGCCATGCTGGCCATGTGGACAACTGGTAAACCGGACAAAGCCCCCCACAATGGCACCTGTGGCAGGTTCCCCCTCTCATGAGATCCCCCACTTCGCCCTCCTTCCCCAAATGACCCTGATCAAACGGGTCTGACCAGTTGGGGAATAACTGGGTAGATGCAAACTTCCCCTCAGGCCTTCCAGAACAGACTCTGAGTCTCTAGTTTGGCTTCCAGAACCCCAAGTCACGTCTGCCCTGGGGAGCAGAGTGTGGGCAAGGCTCCTCCCACCTCCACCCTCTCCTGCTGCAGGATGCTGGGGCCCAGAGGGTCCAGAGGGGCCCCTTGCTCCTGAGCTGGAGGTGGGAGATGATGGCGGGAATCTGGGATGTTTGGGACAGAGTAGGGGATAAGAGCCTGGGGTAAGGACAGGCAGCACCCTCTGGCTCAGTGGGGCTGCACCCAAGGGGTCCCCCTCTTCCAGGTGAGGCCTCGCTCAGGGCACGGTGCAGGTGGGGGGATCCTGGACCTGGACATGGGGGTGCTGGCAAGGATTGGGAAGATGAAGCACTGTATCACTGTCCTCCGTTTGTACATCGGTTTGCTCGAGTGGGCACCAGTAACATCTCACAACAAATTGTGAGACTTGTTGTTACTGTGTTTGGCATATCGAATACGTCACGGGTAGCTTGCCAGGCTTTGCCATGTGGGCAAGATTCTCTCGGTAGCTTGCCGGGCTCTCCGAGAAGGGCGGAGGAATCGAGCTCAGGTCAGCTGCGTGCAAGGCAAATGCCCTATCCAAAACAGGCAAAAATGGCAAAAGTCTAAAACTGGAGATGTTGGGGTCTTGGAATGCCCACAGAGCAGAGCACAGGCCTTACATGCACTGACCCTGAGTTTGACCCCCTTTGTTCCCTAGTACCACCAGGAAGACCCAGAGCCTCTACTCTGCTGGGCGGGAACAGATTACACTATTGTAACTGCCACTGCAGGCAATGGGCCTGCCCCTGGAGCACCCCAGTAAAGAGCTGTAGGGCCAGGGAGATAGTACAGGGGGTTAAGGCACTTTATTGCACCCTACGACACCCAGTTCAATCCCCAGCACCTGAGTCATGCCAGGAGTGGTCCCTGAGCACAGAGCCAGGAATAGCCCCTGAGCACCGTCAGGGGTGGCCCCCAAACAAAAGGAACCATAGGTGCTGGTTCTTATTTCTGCAAAGAAAGAGCTAAGCTATGACTCCCCAAGTCTCGAGGAATTCGAAAGACCCAGAGGTTCCATGCTCAGGCTGGTCTGAACAGGCTGGTCTCAGCTCTGGGTTGACCGAGCACTTGAGTGCAAGTACAAACACAATAGCAAAGTCCCCCAGAAAACTAGGGAGAGCCGCCTTGGAGAACATCAAGAACAGACCCGGGACCACTGCAGTTCTGTGGACGCTGCCTCCCACGGGCTGATGAGAGGGGCTGGCCTGGCTCCCAGAACCTCAAGTTAGCAGATCAGGACAAGAATCCAGAATGAGGAACCGGAACCATAGCACAGTGGGGAGGGTGCTTGCCTTGCACAGGTTGGATCCCCAACATCCTATATGGGCCCCCAAGTCTACCAAGAATAATTTCAGAGTACCAGGAATAACTCCTGAGTATCATCGAGTGTGGCCCAAAAACAAAAAAATAAAAATAAAAAGAGTCCCCAGGTCCTACCAGGAGTGATCCCTGAGTGCAAAGCCAGGAGTAAGTCCTGAGCACCGCCATGCGTAGCCCCAAACCAAACAAAAAGGGAGATGAACAATTCCTAATCATTCACCAAAGTTCCGTTCAGGATCCACCAAGTCCAGGCCTCTGGGCCTGACACTTCCTCCCTCTGCTCTACGTCAGGCCTGGAAGGCTCTCTGTGAAGCAGCCACTGGCCAAGCCTGTGTGTGACCCGAGATGGAACTGCAGAGGAGAGAACCTCTTGGGCTCTGGGCAAGGACAAAAGACACAGCGTCAAGAGGCTGCCATAGGCCAATGAGGGAGTTTGGTTCTGTTAGTGCCCACCAGACAAGCGAGGGCTCCTTCCCAGTCTCACCCCTGTGAGTTGCATGGAAAAGCTGCTTCAACGGCAGACACACTCCAGATGCTGCTAGGTGCAGCAAAGGAGCATGGAATTTAAAAAAATATATATTTTAACTCTTGGTGTGGGGACCACACCTGGTGGTGCTCAGGACTTACTCCTGGCTCCGCACTCAGGGATTATTCCTGGTAGAGCTCTGGGGACCCTATGGGATGCCAGGGATTGAACCTGGGTTGGCCACATGCAAGGGAAACACCCTCCACACTATGCTATCACTCCAGCCACGGGAGCATAAAATTCTACTCTCCGCCCTCTTTGTTTTTGGGGCGCCCAGCAGTGCCCAGGACTTACTCCTGACTCTGCACTCAGGAATCACTCCTGGAAGAGAAGCCATATGGGTTTGGGGGATGGAACCTGGGTCTGCTACATACAAGGCAAGCATCCTCCCTATTGTACTATCACGTCATTATTCAAAATTAGCACTCAGGGTAGGAGATGGGGTGCAAGGGCAAAGGCATTTGCCTTGCATGCAGCCAACCCTGGTCCAGTCCCAGCATGGTCCTGGAGCACTGCCGAGGTCACTCCTGAGCTATGTTCTGTCTGTGTCTGTCACTTGGGAACAATGGGGAAGGGGGATGTGAAGGCAGCAGGCTTCCTTTCCTGAGGCTAGGGGCCACAACTGGGAACCTGGCGACACCCTTGGAGTTAGGGGACAGAGAGCCCGGCTGGTCCCTCCAACCACTGGTCCCGGGAACCCTGGCTGAGTCTTGGGGTGTCGCTGTCTTACGGGGACTCACCTCCAGCCAAATGTCAGCCACGTCGTGCACGATCATGACGAGGGTGCCGCTGCGGATGTAATTCGCGCACCACGAGAAGCTCATCAGGCTAATGGCAGCGAGGTGGTGGATGACATGTGCTAAGAAATCCTACAGGCAGAGGCACAGAGCGAAGAACAGTCAGCCAGCCCCAAAGCAGTGTGGCCCCTCCTCAGGAGCTAATGCTGACAGGGACAGTAACAGGAGGAACGAGGAAGAGGCCAGACGTGGCCATCTGCGGGTTCAGAAGCTTCGGAAGTGCTTCCACTGCACTCTAAAGGGGACAGAATGAGCAGTGCCAGCAGGGGACACACAGCAGCCAATGCTTGTCCTCTTCCTGTGTTTTTGTCTGCCACTGTTTTACACTGGACACACATACACAAACATGCACCCACAGACCCACACAGCCATGCAGCTGCCGTGTAACTTTCCATGTGGTGCTTATTCTCCTACCTCATTCCAAAAAGGAAAGACACATAGCTGTACAACTGGTCAAAGTGCCAACAGCTGAGCTCTTTGGGATTTTTTTTTCATTTTGGGGGCCATACCCGGCCATGCTCAGGGCTTACTCCTGGTTCTGAACTCAGGATTTATCCCTGGTGGGGCTCAGGGAACCCTCTGGGATGCCTTGGGCAACACTAGTTAGTAGGACATTTATGGTCAATTAGAAGTATTAGAATAAAACTTGATTCAACGCGTCACTGGAAACAAAAAACAAAAGGTTGAACTAAGACCTGCACTAACACCCACTTAATTAGAATTGAGGAGGGGAATGCCCTGCCACAAAGGCAGGGTGGGATGAGGGGGATGGGGGGGTGGGAGGGATAGTGGGATCCGTAGTGGTGGAAAATGGGCACTGGTGGAGGGATGGGTATTTGATCATTGTATAATTGAAACCCAAGCACAAAAAATTTGTAAGTCTACAACTGTACCTCATGGTGTTTCACTACTTAAATAAATAAACAAATAATTGAGGAGGGGGACAAGGCAACAAACATCTTTGTGGGGGGGGAGAAGGATAAAGCAGCTTTGCAGATCGGGCACTTACCTTCCTCCTGACATCCGTGCCAAGGCTGAACAAGAGAGACCAATAGAAACTCATCTCTAGGATGTAGTACCAGTACTGGGAAGGCAGCAAGGTCTGGGGGAGACAAGAGCCCCGTCACTACATCAGTGTCAGCATAAAGCGATGCATTCTGAATAAACGAAACTATTATTCACTCATACCTCACCAGCCGCCGAAGCTCCCCCCCCGGGCACAATGCTGTGCTTTCAACTGCCAAGTCAGAGTGAGACAAAAATATTCCCAGCTCTTTTGTCTACACTCCTGAAAGCGGAGATAAGGATTCCCACAGGAAGTATAATGTTTTGCCTCGGTGTTAATAAAGCTGGCACAGGTGTAACTGCCGTGGGATTCTTGTTGTGGACTAAGAGTGTCATTTGAAAAACAATTCCTAAGACGACTTCAGAATGACAGCACGTCTGCCTGGCTGTTCTATGTTCCCGACAGACCTGGCCTCAACCTTCTTTAGTGCCTCCGTGCAGAGGTGATCACATTGAAAGGGTGGATGTTCTGGTCCAGTCCTCCTTGCTTGTAAAGGTAAAGGTAAAGGTAAAGGTAAAGGTAAAGGTCCTCCCGTTGATCGTCGATTTGCTCGAGCGGGCCCAGTAACGTCTCCATTGGAGACTTTGTTGTTACTGTGTCTGGCATATCGAATACTCTCGGTAGCTTGCCGGGCTCTCCGAGAGGGGCGGAGGAATCGAACTCGGGTCAGCCATGTTGGCCGCTTGTAAGGCGAATGCCCTACCCGCTGTGCTATCGCTCCAGCCCTAAAGAAAGAAAGAAAAACCCTAAATGCACGTGTTTGAAAGCATCAGAGATCAACGAGGCACCTGGAACCTATAAAAGACTTTTAAGTGAACCTTGATTTCAGGAGAGACTGGATTCAAGAAACACGAAGTACTGCATACACTTTAGTAGAATGGACCTAAAGCAAACCGGGTGACCAGTAGCAAAAAGGCTGTAGTTTGCTGATTGATACATGTTTGGAGCCCAGTGGCCTCCTGAGGAGCCGAGGTACAGCTGGAATCCTGGGAAACACACGGCCAGTGCTCAGCCCAGTCAGGAAAAAGGGCCCTAGGAAACACTACGTCTCTCTCTGGGAATGTGGGGGAATTGGAAATGCAGCCCTTTCCCACAGACGGCTCTGCCTGGACATGGCCCAGCCAGATGGCACTCCGATGCCCTTGGGGGATGCCCCTAGAGCCAATGTCTGTCCCCTCAAGGGGGATTACATCCTCCTGAGCATCTCCCACGTCTTTGGACAATGTCTGAGATTCTAGACAATCAGGCCCAGGAAGCAGGAACAAATAGGAGCACGGAGGAGAGTTGCCAGGTTTACTAGACTCTACAACATGCCTGGAAAACACCATTAAAAGATGGTGACCCATAGCAGGGGGCTGGAATTCTTTACTCAAAGCATCACGTGGAAAAAATCTCCAAATGGAGAAATACAAGGACTGGACTTCTACTTTCATAGCCGGTTCTGGTAACTGGGAAGAAAGAGCCGCAAAGGAGAGGATGCAAAAGTGGCCTAGCCTTTGCCTGCAGTGAGGCACTAGTTGCAGCGCCCTGGATGCGGGGTGGCGTCTGGAGACTTCAGGGAAGGCACAGCCAACCCTGCAGAGCAGCGGCCTTTTCCCATGGCATGAGGCACAGAAGCGCCCGTGGGTGCTCGCACTTAAGGGCCAGGCTTTAAACAGGACCCACAGAGAACCTGAACCTTTCCAGTCCTTCAAAGGTTGCCAGATTGTAGAGAAGCCAAAGCACTGGGCACTTCTTCCCCCCATTCAACATGCAGAAATGCAGGAGACCCTGGAGAAAGGTCACCCCACCAGAGCACAGAGACTAAAGGGGAGAAAATACTGCGGGTCGCCTAGGAGACAGCACCCGTACTGAGGAGGAGCCCAGAGGCATACTTGTACAGCTGGAATTCCAGACTAGAAGGGAGAGCGAGGGAAAGGAAGAGAAGCCACAGCTAAGAGTTCCCAGAAACGGGCCCCAAACAGCAGATTCGAGAAGTGCTATGTAAGCAGGACGAGTGAGTGAGCAGATCGTGACTGGCGCTGAAAACACAGCTTCAAAATATTACAACGGGTGAGTGAGGAGTGGGGGAGGTGCTGGGAAAGGCATCAGGTCACCCCCAAACCGGACCACACAGTTATTAATGACACTGATGCAATCCTAGAACTCTGTAGATATTTGGGGGTGGGCGCGGGGGAGGAGATCTCCACAGATCCAGGCAGAAAGATCCGAATCACAGACGAATGCACCCAAGACACGCAATGTCTTGAAAAACGGGAGATGGGAAGCAGGTGCCAGAGGTGTTTCAGGGAAAGAGACGCGCACGTCGCGGTGATTTTTCAATCTCTGGGAGAGTTTCCAGGAGGAAGAAAGCACGTAGAGCCGAAAAGCTAACCAAAGGGAAGAAATGGGGGGGCCTTTAGAAAACAAACGGGACTGTTCCCTCCAATGAGAGAGTGACAAAGGGGCATGAAAACACACCAGGCAATGCCCGGGCAGAGAATAGGCTGAGGGGCACATCCAGCCCCCTACTTTGTTAATTCAATGCGTGATGATAGTCAGGTCACGTGACTGGCCAGATACAGGCCTGATTCAAGCAATGAAGGAATGAGATGGGAGGGGGTGGGTTGGGGTGGGCAGGACGAGCTCCTCAGCAAGGGGAGTGGGGGGTGGGGAGGTGAAGAAGTGGGAGAGAACAGGAAGGACGGAAGAACAGGAACTCGGGAGTCAAGTGGGGGCCCCTGGAGAGGCCATTCGAGGGACTCACCTGTCGGGGGTAGCCATTCCACACCTCCCATAGGTCATACACCCACGGTTTCTGCAGAAACAGGCAAACAAGGAACCGTCAGCAGCAAACAGATGTGGGTCCAGCCATAACAGACATCAAGACTTGGGGCAGATCCCCCATCCCCAGGCCTTGAGGCTCCTGCTGCCCACCTCCTCCTCTGTGACCCTGTGCCCAGACATCACGCCCAAGGCACACCCCAACTCTGGTGCCTCTGTGTGCCTGGAAAGCACACTGTTGGCAGAGAGCAGTGTTTCTGATGAAATCAGTGCTCAGCCTACCAGACCCACACCAGAGCAATACATTGCTCCAATACTGGAGCAATGCGACAACCGAAGAAACTGTGGGAGCAGAGACGAAAGGGCACGGGGACTGTGTGCCAGGGAATCACAGTGTTGCACCCACTAGACCTGAGCCCTGGTGTGGGCATGACCGACATCCTCCCTGGCACCCCTCATTTTTCATGGTAAGCAGAGCAGTATTGCTCAAATGCTTGTGCCTCTGAGGAAATCTATTGTTATCAAAGCACCATGGAAAGGAAGAAGGCAGGGAGAGACCTGGGTTTTTTTTTTTTTTTTTTTGGCACACCTGCCAATGCTCAGGAGTTACTCCTGGCTCTGCACTCAGGAATTACTCCTGGCAGTACTCAGGAGACCATATGGGATGCCGGGAATTGAACCTAGTGAGCCACGTGCAAGGCGAAGGCCTAGCCTGCTGTGCTGTCACTTTGGCCCAGAGATCTGATTTCTGACAGGCATTTTATGTGCCTTTATTTTTAAATTGGTTTTTGTTTTGGGGGATGCCACACCCAGCGTTACTCAGAGGCCACTCCAGGCTCTCTGCTCAGGGTGTCATTCGCGCTGGGGATCGAACCAGGTCAGCTATGTGCAAGGCAAACGCCTGACCCTGGAGTATCCCCCTGTACTACCCCGACAGTAATTTGATTTCTTGTGCGAAAGTCTTCATGGTAAAAGGATGTGATGGAACTTGAGTTAAAAATAAAGGGAAAAAGGACTTGTGGCAGGAGGGGTGAAATGCACTAAAGGACCAAAGTGGACTGGACCAGTAGGCTCAGCAGATGGCCAACAGTTCATCTTTGGTGCAGGAGTAGGGAGAAACTGGCCTTAAGACTTAACCGTGCAGGTCTTGGGAGACAGTACTTGCATACACTTTAGCCCTAAGCACTGCCAGGAGGGACCCATGGTCAGGCGTGGCTCAAAAACCAAACCGAAAAATCAACTAAGCGAATGCAAGACTTCACAAGGGTTTTAAAGGACCTACTGAGGAGAAGCTCCTGGTCTGTGGCATGAGAGAGCAGAGGTCTGTGCCGGGGTGTCGGGGCCCAGGGAAGGGTGAGCCCCACCCCAGAGATGGGATGGCAACTCACGTCATAGAGAAATGCAATCCCAGCAATGGTGATCACGAGGTAGAATGTGAACCGCCAGCTGCCAAGAGAAAGGAGAGTGCGTGAAGAAGGTGACACGTGTCAGAGGGCACATGGACCACAGTGGAGTATGAGAGAGGCATGCTCTGATTCGTCCGACGGGCATCCCTCTTTCGGCTCTCCCACTTACTCAGTGCAGGGAAGGGAGCCAATTGCAGGGGGCCTCGAGTCTTCATCTGTGAACGGGAACAGTGGAGTTTACCTCAAAAGGTATTGATCAGCATTCCTGGGTGAGTGAGCAGCCAGGAACTGGAGCGAGTGGCAGTGGGGGGGGGGTGGCAGTGATGATGGCAGTGGTGATGATGCTGATGGTGGTGGTGATGGTGATGAGTGGTGTGATGGTGGTGCTGATGATGCTGATGATGCTGATGGTGGTGGTGATGGTGATAAATGTTGTGATGGTGGGGGGGTGGTGAAGGTGATGGTGGTAATGATGCTGATGGTGGGGGAGATGGTCATGATGGTGGTGGTGCTGATGATGCTGATGGAGGTGGTGATGGTGATGAAGGTTGTGATGGTGGTGGCGGGGGTGATGCTGATGGTGGTTATGATGCTGATGGTGGTGATAACACTGATGGTGGGGGTGATGGTGGTGATGAATGGTGTGATGGTGGTGGTGATGATGGTCATGATGGTGGCGGTGAGGGTAAGGTGGCAGGGTGATGGTGGTGGCAGTAATCAGGATGGTGGTCATGGTAATGGTGGTGTAGGTGACGGTCTCAGTGGTGGTGGTGATGGTTATGGCAGTAGTGATGGTGGTCATGGTGGTCCTTTATGTAACAATCACTGAAGTAATATTAAAAGTCTTGGGCTGCTGAGGTGGCTTAGGAGGCTGAAGGCTGCATCTGGCCACTGGCACTGTATGACCCCCTATACTGCTAGGCACAACCCCTAGACCCAGGGTCAGGGGTCACCCCTGAGCACCACTAGGTGTTGTCCCAAAACCAAAAAGGAAAGAGAAGCAGCTACTCCGTCTAGAGCCCCACTCACTTCTGCAGCCCTGGGAGAAGGGCACTGCTGGGGGTGAGGACAGGGGCTCTTCCAGGCTGCCCTCTGCTCCCACAGCCCAAGCAAGGCTGGTGCTCTGGCCCTCAGACTCAGAACATTCCTGAACACGCCGCCGCCACACAGCAGGATGGCGCTGGCCCATGGGGTTCTGATCACAAAAGTCAACTTTGATCCTTCAGAAAGTTGACCAATTAAAGACACTCCCAGAGCACTAAAAAACTGAGAGGATGGGGCCAGAAAAATAGCACAGTGGTTAGGGCATGCACCTGGCATGCGCTGGGCACATACAGACTCCCTGAGCACCGTGGGGTGCAGCTGGAGGCCTCTACCTTCCAACTGTGGTCCTGAGCCCTTGAACCTAGGTAGCCAAGACCCACTGGGAGGCTGGGGGCTCAGGTCTGAGGGCCTTCTGGCAGGGTCCTCTCTAATGAGACAGACCCTTGGATGGCCAAAACCCGTCGTGCTAGTGTTTACCCCTGTCAGGCGTCAGGGAGCCCCATACTTGGAGGGGGGGTGGCACCACCTCAGCATCTCACCCAAACCTGAGGCCCTGATAAGGTGTGGGGACCCCTGTGCTCCCAGGCAGGGGTCATGCCCGGGCCTCTCCTTAGTCCCATCCTGGGATGCCCCACTTCTCAGCTCGGGCTGCTCCTCCAGCAAGTGGACCCAACACTGCCTCCATCCAGACCTCACCACGCGGGGGTCAGGACACACTGCAAGGCTTCTCAAAGTGGGTGCCGCAGAGCCCTGTGGGGTGGGGTCCAAGCCTGACGGTGTGGCCCTGTGGGCACCAGGGCCTATAGCCACATTCTCACTGCCTGCCTCCCCTGTCAGGCTGCCACCACTCAGCCTTCTCTCCGCAGCTGCTCTTTTCTTTACACTAGGTTTGGGTTTTGTTCCCGGGTCACACCGGCAGTGGTCTGGGGCTAGTCCCAGCACAGTGCTCCAGGGACTGTGTGGGGAGGGTGGGGGATCACATCAGGGGTCCCCCATGCAAGCAGCCCCCCCCCGCCATCCGCCCGAGAGGCCCCTCTGCCCCAGGGAAGGGACTACTCCTGAGTCGGCCCCCACGGCCCTCCGTACCAGGCCTCCTGGAACTTCTTCATTCTGCAGGGCCGATCTAGGTTCCGCCGACTCCGAAACCATCTCTCCACCTGGCGCTCTGTTAGGCTGCTCTTCTTGGCCAGGCTGTAGAGATCAGTCTGCAGAGAGGGCACAAAGAGGGGACGAGTCACGAGGGCTGGGGTCCAGGGACAGGGCACTCTCTCTGTGGCTTCTGGAATCACACACGTGTGCACACATACACACACATACACGTGCACGCATGCACACACGCATGCACAGATGCATACACAAAGACACACACTCATGCACACATGCATATAAGCACTCATAAAAAGCACATGCACATACAAATGCACACATGCACAGACACATGTACTTACACACATGCATACAAACATATACATACACATATGCATAAAAACACTCATACACAGGCATGCATGTACACATACATGTACAAACACATGCACACACATGCATGCACATACACATGCATGCACAATTCACGCATTCACACATGCACACACATGCATGCACATACACATGCATGCACAATTCACGCATTCACACATGCACATATATGCATGCACATACACATACACATGTCCACACACATGCACGCACCTGCAAACACACCTGGCTTGCTCCATGGACCGTGTGTCACCGGCATTAAACCTGGGTCTTCCATCCTCTTTTCACGCACACGTAAAAATCCCAAGAAGATGAGCCTGGTCCTGAGTCCCGAGGACAGGCCAGCGGGGACCCCCTTCGGTCCCCTCCTCCCCTCTCACTTCACAGGGCTCTGCAGTGCCACAGTTGCCAGCAAACCCCATGACGCCGCTATGGATTCCATTATGAGTTCTCTTCCAATCAGACGCAATTTCAGAGAAGCTCAAAGGAACCCAAAGGTGCGAAGGAAATTCTGGGACAAGGAGGGTGCCGCCTCTGGGACATACAACTGCAGTCACCACGCAGAACGGGAAATGGGTCAGGGACGGCTCCACGTGAGGATGGAAGGCTGGGGTTCAATGCCCAGTGATACACGCTCCATGCAGCAAGCCAGGACACGCCCTGAGCACCAGAGAGGGTGGCCTGAGCTCCCCCTCTCCCCATAGAAGCGCCTTTCTGTAGAGTCGGCATAACAGGCTCCTCTTTCACCCCTCAAACACAGCCCGCGGGTGTAAGAAGGTCAAAAACCACCAGTCTAGTGTCGGGGTCATTGCTGCCTGTCCATGTCCAGGCCACTGGGGCAAGAAGCAGAGGAAGGCTGCTCTCCATGGGGCAGGACCGGCCCTGTGGAACACCCAGTAATACGGCCCAGCCCTCACAGGGGCCCCGAGAGAGGAGACCCATGAAGGGGAAAGCGAGGCACAGAGCATCAGCCCACTGCTCTGCAGGCGCCTCCCCCCCCCCCCCCCCCCCCGCCACATTTCCCACAACCTCATTGGTGCTGGTGCCAGGATCAAACCAAGAGGACAGACCAAGGCTGGGAATCAGGGCTTGGGAGGCTGATGCAGTGTTTGCTATGGAGAGAGAGCACAGGCCCCCCAAAACAGAATCCCTCTGGTTCTGCAGGAACTCCCCACCCCACCCTCGCTCCACCCCCAAGGACTGTCACAGTCCCTGCAGGAACCAGACCTTCCTGGAGAGGTGTGTGTGCGTCGAAGGCACTGGGGACAGCGCCCAGAGGACCCGGGATGGGTGCCCTGCACCCCACACTGCCCACGCCCCATCGGGAGTAATCCCAGGGCACTGTAGCTTCCAGCCCCCCCGCACTGAAGTGAAAGAGTCTGCAGTCAGATGCCACACTGGCCGCCTGGGGTGCCCATTAGTGACCCTCAAGCCTGGCTCTGGGGCCGAGTGTGATGGCGTCACATGGCCACTTGGCTCCCCCAGAATCACATGCTTCCTACTTCAGCCTCCGTGCTCGGTGAGGCCTGGCTGAGGGTGAGCGCTGGCTCATCAGTCCCTGCATTTTTATCAGGAGCAGAGTAATGAATGTGTTGGACACGGCTGCTGGTGGGGTCGATGGCGCCGGCCCAGCCCATCTTGAAGTGGTTAAGGAGATACAAGCGCACGTACAGGAACAGCTTTCAGATGGATGTGTGCGCGCACACATAAATAACGGGCCCACAGCTGCAGTCGCAAGCGGATCGTGCAAAGCCGTCCATCTGCAGACCCACTGGCAGAGGGGGGCCGCAGTGCCGCGTGTCCTGTCTCTTCCCCTGGTGCCCAGAATGGAGCTGTGTCCTTCGGCTCCTCTTGCAGCCGTTCCTGGCAGCTGGGGGGTGGGAGGGGCTGACCCTGTGGCTGGACTTGGCTAGATATGGCCCCTCACTTACTCCGCTCTCACCATCCGTGAATTAAGCAAAATGTAAGTGGTTCAACTGAGGCGTGGGGTGTGGGGGACTGCTTTGGTTCCCTCGTCTGCAATCAGCCGTCTGCTCTCCGCGGTCTCGGTCACTGGTGTCCCCAAGCAGAATTGGGTTACCACGCCCTTTCTCAGGAGACAAGTCACTCAGGGCAGCACTGAAACACCCCTTCAGTAAGTGAGGGAGCAGGAAGTGCCCCTAGTGGCGCCTGAGGGAATTACCATCCACCCTTCACTTCGGGAAACAGTGGTCAGTTCCTTGCCACCTGTATCTCTGGGGCCTTTCTCTGGTCACACGCCGCCTCCAGGCTGACACTGACAAACACTCTGAGCCAAAAACAGGAATTATTTCCTGTCTTTCTCTTCTTCAAGGAGCAGAAGATGCTCGGCCGTGGCGTGTGGCATTTGTGTTCAGAGTCACGAACACTGGTCAGACTCGCGGGCAACTGGTCACTACAGGCACAGTGCAGCCTTGAGGGACACCTATGGGTGGTGTCACTGGGGGTGGGAGAGGCAGCCCCATGTGCTTTGATGATGACAGGATCCTGGGCACTGTCTGGTCCCCGGGCTGTGCGGGGACAGCTCTGAGAGTAGCCCTGAGCACGGCCGGGAATAACCCTCTCCCCTAACCAAAATTAGTTCCTTGGGGTGATTGGGCAGAGAGTGGCTTGTAGCCACCCAGCTCTGGAGTTGGTAGCTGACTGGAGTTCCATCCCTAGCACCAGCGGTGCCCTGAGTATCGTGGGGTGTAACCCTGGAGGCCCTCCAAGTACCCTCAGTCTTTAGCACTAAACTGAGGAACAAGCAGGCAGAGAATTACCAAGAGGGGTCCCTGGGGCCCCTGAGCACCACTTGGCAGTTCCCTCCACTCCCCCTCAACCCCCGTCCCACAATCTCTCGGGGCCGGGAGAGTTCACAGGGCTGGACCCCACCTGCAGTGACAAGCACTGAGCAGTCCCGGCCCTGAGTACTGCCGAACCAGGGGTACCTGGGAGGGGACTGGAAAGGTCCAAGGGTGCAGACACAGCCTCAGATGACACTGGGGGTGACGCTATGCCTTTTTTTCCTGGAAAGGGTCACATAAGATGGAGGGGAGCTCAGTGCTAGGTGAACAGGACAGTGCCAGTCACTGCACTGTAAGAATAGTGCCGGTCACTTCATGGTAAGGACAGCGCTGGTCACTTCATAGTAAGATCTCATCTGCAAATGAGCAGGCCGAAAGGGTCCCAAATCTGTCAGCAGAGCAAAGATACAAGCCCCAGTGGTTCGTTATGTCTGCCCATCAAAGGGGCATAGAACCAGAATTCTCCGGCAGGTAAGCTGAGCCTTTTGGTGATTTGACCTTACAAGGAGGGGCATTTTTCCATCAGAAAACCAAGACCCAGGGCCAGAGCCATGGTATGGCAGGTAAAGGTGCTGGCCATGCATGCCACAGACCCAGGTTTGATCCCTGGCATCCCATGGGGCCTCCTGACCCCTGCTAGGAGTGATTCCTGAGTGCAGAGCCAGGAGTGAGCCCTGAGCATCGCCGGGTGTGGTACCAAAACCTGAGACTGAGTGCTTACTTTGGAGGGTTTTCTTGTGCCCTTCTGGAAGAATGTCTCTAAGACTGCATTTGGCGTGATCTTCCTCCGACCTTCTTTAATGCCAAAGGTCCTCGCCAGAGGGGCAGCAATAAACCTACAAAAGAAAGTAGATTGGAAGTCTGAGAATCACCCTCAGGGGTACCAGACAACTTGAGTCTCCGCGCCAGTGGCCACCGGGGTCAGGGCTGCCCCCTTGCCTGCCACCCTCCATGCCTGGCAGACGTTCCGGGAGAGCAAGTCTGGAGGTGCCCTAGAAACGCAGTAACGGATGGGGAGAACCCCTGTCATAGTTCTAAAGCCATCTGAAAAGAATCCAAATACATTAATGCATTGGGTGGGTCTGCGATCGAACCCAGGGCCGTACACAGACCAAGGCAAAAAGTGCTCCACTGCGGAGGCAGCGCACCAAGTTCCCGCCCTCCCCCAAATAAATTTCTACACAAGACCTGGGGAGCCCCTCCCCCAGAGTTAGGATAAGCCCTTCCACAGAGACTCTCATTTCTAAGACGCTCGGGATTCAAATTAATAGTTTTGTTATTAAAAGTTTTATTTGATGCGATGGTTTTATTTGATATAATAAACCTACTTGATGTTTTCACATGTGAAAACCTGCCTTGGGGAGACACCTAGCATCGTGGTGCAGGGACGCCCAGCTAGCCTGCTTCAGTTCCCAGGGAGCTGGCACGCTGCCTGCCGGAGTGTGTGTGCCCACTGGCATGCCCACTGACCATGTGCCCATTCTGTGCCCACGCTGGCCTGGGATGCCGCTGGCAATTCTATGGGGCTTGTGAGTGTTTTCACTGAGTTTTCCACGCTAAGCTCATCAGTTCCTCATTCCTGCTTGTCTCACTTTTGGTGTGCTGTTTGGGGCCTTTTCTTTCTTTTTTTCTTTTTCTTTTTTGGGTCACACCTGACAATGCACAGGAGTTACTTCTGTTTCATGCACTCAGGAATCACTCCTGGCAGTGCTCAGGGGACCATATGGGATGCTGGGAATCAAACCTGGGTCAGCCGCATGCAAGGCAAATGCCCTACCCGCTGTGCTATTGCTCCAGCCCCTGGGGCCTTTTCTTAAGGTGGGATGTAAGATGGTACTCTTGAGATCTCCCCTCTTTTCTCACTATGGTGAGCTACTTCTGCTAATTTGGTTTGATTTGGTTCAGTTTGGGGCCTCACCCAGCTGTGCTCAGGGCTTCCTCCTGGCTCTGAACTCAGGGATCACTCCTGATGTGCTCAGGGGACCCATGGGGTGCCTGGAATCAAACCCTGGTTCAGCTATGTGCAAGGCAAATCCCCTATCTGTGGTACTATCACTTTGGCCTGTTTAATTATTTATTTACTTATTTATCTATTTATTTATATAGTTTTGATTTTTGGGTCATACCCGGCGATGCTCAGGGGTTACTCCTGGCTCTGCACTCAGGAATCACTCCTGGCAGTGCTTGGGGGACCATATGGGATGCCAGGGATCGAACCCAGGTTGGCCGTGTGCAAGGTAAATGTCCTCCCCACTGTACTATCACTCTGGGCCCCCTTTTAATTTTTTAATCAATTAAAAAATAATTTTGGGGGGGTACTGCATTTGGAAATGCTCAGGGCTTACTTCTGGCTCTGTGTTCAGGAAATCACTCCTGGTGGTGCTCCGAGGACCACACAGGTTGCCGGGGATCAAACCTTGGCATCCCCCCTTTCAGCTAGCAATCTGGCTTCTTCAACCAGGTATCACTTCGTCTCATCACTTGGAGTCTGAGTGTGTGAGATACTGTCCTTATTCTGTCCCAAACTCAGTCCTTGTGCAGGATTTTCTCTAGATTTTATTTTTGTTTATTGTTTGTCTGATTCACTAGCAAGGCTCAGGGGTTACTGTTGGCACTGCACTCAGGAATCACTCCTGGAGGTGCTCGGGGGACAATACAAAGTGCCGGGATTGAACCCGGGTCGGGCATGTGCAAGGCAAGTGCCCTACTGGCTGTACTATCAGTCCAGTCCCTCCTCTAGATTTTTAATATATTTAAAATAGCCTATATCAGGGGCCAGAGTGATACTACAGTGGGGAGGGCATTTGCCTTGCACACGGCTGACCTGAGTTTGATCCCTGGTAGCCCTTAGGGTCCTGTGAACCCTGCCAGGAGTGATTCCTTGAGTGCAGAGTTAGGAGTGAGACCTGAGCACCACTGGGGATGACGCCAAAACCTAAAAGTAAAATAAAATAGGCCATGTCAAGTCTTTAATCCAACACCCAAGATCCATAATGAATACTTTAGTAATTGCTGGGTTTTCTGTTTTGTTTTTCTGCGTATCTGATGGTGCTTGAGAAACTTCCACACTGGGATTCTTCCTTGTGAATTAAAGCCCCTCCTATGTACAGCACATCACTTCTTCCGGTGTGCCTCTTTTCACTTCACTTACAGTGACTTCTTTAACAACTATGAGCCGGAGTGATAGTACAGCAGGGAAGGCGCTTGCCTTGCATGTGACTGACCCAAGTTCCATCTCCAGCATCCCATAGGGTTCCCCGAGTACCACCAGGGGCCCCCCAGATAAACAAACAAACACAAAAATAGCTAGCAAGGCATTTTGCAAATCATACTACTGATGCCTTCAATGATCTTGAAAGAAAACTGACCACGTTGTTCACCCAGCCTGTATCAGCTTTGAACACTCTCCTCATCCCATCTGATCTTGTATTCACGTTGACTAATCTTTGCTCCCTCCCACTGCTGCCCAGACAGCCACCAATCTATTCCTGTTTATAGTTTGTCGTTTGGCCTTCTCTGGATATTTGATCTGAGGGAACTCATACACAACATCATTGCTCATGTCTGGATTTGATCCCTCGGCCCTTACACTGTGGAGTCTTCACCTCATGTCAGAGTGCAGATCTGAACTCCAGTGCTCATATAGAAGTAACTAGACTTTAGCAATATCTCTTGAAAAGCAAAAATAATTAGCAAGTTACCAAGAGAAAGAAAAGCACATGCTTAACACAGATTCTCAAACATTCATCGCCATTTTATCATAATAGCCCCAACCTGTAAACTATGGACATTTCTTTTTCTTTCTTTTGTGTGTAGGGGGGGCACATTGGCAGTGCTCAGGGCTGACTCCTGGCTCTGAGCTCAGGGTGGGCTCAGGGAACCATATGGGGTGCGAAGGACTGAGCCCACATCAGCCCATACAAGTCAAGTGCCCTATCTGCTGTCTGATCTCTCTGGCCCCTGAGCTACCAATATTTCTATCACCTCGTTAAAGAAGCAGTAAGTTGAGGTCAACAATCTAGCAAGGACAAGGAACCACTGGTACACACAGGAACATGAAAACCATCTCAGACACAGACAAGTATACTCTGCATGACTTCATTTCTAGAAAATTCTAGGAAAGATAAAATCACACAGACAATAAGTATAATTGGTGATTGGCAGGGGCACTAGAAAATGAACGGTGAAATGGGAGGTGGAAAGGAGATTTTAGAGCTGATGGAAGAAATTTTAGCATCATTGTAGGAAAAGCTAAATTTGATGCATTTGACAGATGTCAAAATGCATCCAATTCCAGACGGACCTTCTACCTCAAAGTCTGCTAAAGCATTTTTCACAATAGCCCAGATGAAGAAGCCCGATGATGCCCATTTTGGAAATCACCATTAAATGGAATCGAACTCGGGTCGGCCATGTTGGCCGCGTGTAAGGTGAACGCCCTACCCGCTGTGCCCGGCAAGCTACCGAGAGTATTCGATATGCCAGACACAGTAACAACAAAGTCTCCAATGGAGACGTTACTGGGCCCGCTCGAGCAAATCGACGATCAACGGGAGGGCCTTTACCTTTACCTTTACCATTAAATGCCCGTGTAAGCCCCCTGACAGATGACTGGAGAGAGAAGGTACCATACATGGAGTGCAACAGTATCCAGTTCTTTTAAAAACAAAGTGATGCAGGGCTGGAGTGATAGGACAGTGGGTAGGGCATTTGCCTTGCACACGGCCGACCTGGGTTTGATCCCTAGAATCCCATAGGTCACACCGGGAGTGACCCTGAGCGAGAAGCCAGGAGTAACTCCTGCACATTGCTGGGTGTGCCAGGAAGGAAGGAAGGAAGGAAGGAAGGAAGGAAGGAAGGAAGGAAGGGAGGGAGGGAGGGAGGGAGGGAGGGAGGGAGGGAGGGAAGGAAGGGAGGAAAGGAGGGATGGAGGGAGGGAAGGAAGGAGGGAAGGAAGGAAGGGAGGGAGGGAGGGAAGGAGGGAAGGAGGGAGGGAGGGAGGGAGGGAAGGAGGGAGGGAGGGAGGGAGGGAGGGAGGGAGGAAGGAAGGAAGGAAGGAAGGAAGGAAGGAAGGAAGGAAGGAAGGGAGTCATTTAGAGCCAAATAGAAAGAACTGGAGCAAAATAAATCAGAAGGAAAAAGACAAGTGTTGGCTGAGATCAGTCATGGGAAGAATCCCAGGAGATAAAATGGAAGGACAGAGAGATCCCAGTATAAGGACAGGTCAGGGGACACAGACACGCAACAAAGTGAGGCTACATGAAGGTTAATTGAGAAAGTGAAGGAGAAAACAAACAAAAAAAAGCTGAAAAAAATGGAAGTGAGGGACAGGAGTGATAGTAGAGCAGGGAGGGCATTTGCCTTGCACATACACAGCCAACCCAGGTTCAATCCTCAGCATCCCATAGGGTCCTCCGAGCACCATCAGGAGTGACTGAATACAGAGCCAGGTGTCAGCCCTGAGCACTGCCGGGTGTGGCCCCCAAACAAACAAAAGTTGGGAGTGAAGAAAAGACATTCCTGAGAGGAAGAAATAAATGTGGATGGACTTTTTATTGTCTATACCTCATCCCTCAGCAAAACAAATTTCTAGAACACTGTGTGCTTCCTTCTATCAGATGGAGTGTCTGTCTTAGACAACAAGGATCTTTTTCTAGAATCCACCCCAAGGAGTTTCTGGGCACAGAGATGGCTCAGGGCTCAAGGTGCTCGCCTTGTATGCGGGTCACCCTGCATCTTCCTGACACCTTCTGGTCCCCTCCACCCCTGCCCCCCAGCACCGAGCACTGTCAGGTATAGCCCCAAACCCTCCATTCTCAAAATTAATTAGAAGATT